AGTCCCAGCACTTGGGAGGCAGAGGCAGGCGGATCTCTGAGTTCAAGGCCAGCCTGGTCTACATAGCGAGTTCCAGGTCAGCTGGGGTTGCAGGGAGACCATGTCTCAAAAAGACCAAAAAAAAAAAAAATTTATTAAAAACAAAAAAAGGAAGAAATTATCAGTGTAATTTTTTACATCATTGTTTTGAGGTTTGGGGGTTTGTTTTGTTTTTATGGCTTTTGAGACCTGTTCTCTAGCCTGGAAATCACTACATAGCCCAGGCTGTCCTTAGGCTTAGAGTGATTTCTCCTGCTTTAGCCTCTCTCACTGTGGGCACATAACTGTTTTTAAGCATCTAAAAAAGTATTTTGTGGTAAATAGATTTGTGAAAAAGAATTTTTGTTTGATGACTACAATTGTAATAAAAGTATTTCTGCATTATCAATTCTAAAAGCTTATAAGTTTCATTTATTTCTTTATTTTGTTCTTTTGAAATAGTCTCACTGTATATTCTGGGCTGGCTTGTAGCTCACAATCTTCTTGCCTCTGCTTTTGGAGTGCTAGGATTATAGGTGTGAGCCACTGTGCCTGGTTTCCAAATTCTTTTAACTGTATTGATTTAATGTTTTCCCTTTAGAGTTGTCTGTGTGGGAAGTTTGTCCTCCGTCCATTGCGACCATGCCGTAGATACTCTACTTCACGCAGTTCTGGGTATGTAGCTTGTCTCCCTGGAACTGGACTTTTTTTACCTTGTGCTACTAATTGGTGTACGTATGTGTGTTTTCTTTGAATGTGAAAATAGCTGCTTAAGCCTTTTATTAAGGAAACAATACTCTGTCCATATCTTTGGTTTCATTTACTCATGATCAACTTGAAGTGTGGTCTCACGGCATCATCAGAGGAAGGGTAAGTGCAGTATGTAAGATTTGAGAGGGACCACTTTCACATTTTTATTGTAGCATACTGGTTTTTTTTTTTTTTTTTTGGTCTTTTTGAAACAGGATCTCCCTGTAGCCCCAGCTGGCCTGGAACTCACTATGTAGACCAGGCTGGCCTTGAACTCACAGAGATCCACCTGCCTCTGCCTCTCAAGTGCTGAGACTACAGGTGTATGCCACCACACCCGGCTTGTAGTATACTGTTAAAACTGTTGTATTTGATTATTTTTTGTCTCTTGTTATGCCTAGTTTATAAATTAGGCTTTTTCATAGTTATGTATGTCTAGAGAAAATATAGCATCTGATTCTCTGTGGCTTCGGGCACCTGGTGGGCTTCTTGAACTCATTCCCTCAGGTAAGAGGGACTACTACATATGCACGGAAGTGTTGCTGTAAGATCCCAGGGCTCCCTTCTGTTGCATTATTTTTTTAAATTTTATTTATTTTTATTTTATGTGTATGAGTGTATTGCCTGCACATATGTAAGTATAGTGCCCATGGAGGACAGAAGAGGCTGTTGGATCTCCTGGAACTGCAGTTACAGATGGTTGTTAGCTGCCATGTGGGTGCTGGGAATCGAACCCTGGTTCTCTGCAAGAGCAGGCAGTGCTCTTAACCACTGAGTCATCTCTCCAGCCCCCTGTTGCATTAGTTATAGGCAAAAGTTTTTTTAATGGTGCTCCTTTTCGTTCTTCGGTAATTGGATGGCACCCAGCAAAGAGTCCCTTTCTTCAAGTGCTGCCTTCCATTTTATGGAAATTAATTTAAATCCAAAATACACCATATTGTAAATTTTAAAAGTACTTGTTAGTTTTATTTAATATTTTGTTACCTTTCCATATTTGACACGTGCTAAGTAGTCACTCTACCACTGAGTTATATTTCCAGCCCAGTAGTTGGTGTTTTTAATTAAAAAAAATTTTTTTTTTCTTACTGTTCACTTTGTAACTGGCTGGCCTAGAACTTGCTTTGTAAACCAGGTTGGCTATGAATTCAGAAATCTGCCTTCCTCTGCCTCCTGAATGCTGGGATTAAAGGTGTGCCCCACTAGGTAATCCCAGTAGTTTTTTGTTTTGTGGGTTATTTTTATTTTTGAAACCCAATAGTTTTAAATTTTTATCTTATTTTTTATTTTTGTCTGAGACAGAGTCTCCCTGTAGCCCCAGCTGGCCTGGAACTGACTTTGTAGACCAGGCTGGCCTCTAACTCACAGAGATCTGCCTGCCTCTGCCTTTGCCTCCCAAGTGCTGGGATCAAAGGCATGCACCACCATGGCCAGCTCTAAATTTTATTTTTAATTTGAGACAAGGTCTCATACCTTAGCCTAGGCTGGCCTGTATCTCAGAGCCGTCTCCCTGCCTCAGCCTCCAGAATGGAGGAATTAAAGGTGTTTGTCACCTATCATGTGGGGCCCATCTCAGTGTTCTTTTCTCTTTTTTCTTCTGTAAAGGGTTTACTTTATGTGCTTACAAAATTGCTTAAAGAAGGGGACTTTATTTTTTTAAAAAAGACAAGTTCTCCCTGAAGAACCAGCTGGCCTGGAACTCAACTGTGCAGACTAGGCTGGCCTTAATCTCACAAAAATCTGCCTGCCTCTGTCCCCCAAATGCTGGCATTAAAGGCGTGTGCCACCATGCCCAGGGTAAGGAAGGAGATTTTAAAAGTTAGTGATCTGAGGGGCTTCAGAGGCAATTGTCATCAAGCTCTAAGCATTAAAAATAGACTGCTTCATTCGTTTTTTGGTGTCCATAAATAGATATTGTTACTTTCTATTTTCTGATGTTAAAAATAAATCAGGAAAAGGTGATTTGCAGCTGTGATGCTTGTGATAGTTGACTGCTATGATCTGTGTCAGTAGAGAAGTCTTTAATAAAGACTTTTGTCTAAGAAAGGATTTTTAGGTGAGGCAAAAAAATATGTTTTCCCTATCTTTCTCACTTAGGTTGACTGCTGGCAGAATTGCTGGGGCTGGCCTTCTGTTTGTTGGTGGAGGTATTGGTGGCACTATCCTATATGCCAAATGGGATTCACATTTCCGGGAAAGCGTAGAGAAAACCATACCTTACTCAGACCAACTCTTTGAGATGGTTCTTGGTTCTGCACCTTATACTGTTCCATTGCCAAAGAAGCCGGTAAGGATGTTAAACACTATTTCAGTTGATGCTATAGAATACTTTATATATGTTTTGATTTTATTTCTTATTTGAGACAAGGTCTTACATAGCTCAGGCTGGCCTTAAACTTCTGATTCCTTTTGTTTCACCTCCCAAGTTCTGGGATTTGGGGAATGTATTATTATACTTGGTTTTGGAACACTTTTTGAAAGCAAGCTTTTTTAATCCCAGCACTTGGGAGGCAGAGATAGGAGAATCACTATGATTGAGGCCAGCCTGGTCTACATAGCCAGTTCCAGGCCAGCTGTGGCTATAGGGAGACCCTGTCTCAAAAAACAAAAACCAAATAAAAAAAAACTTAAAACAAAACCCAAGAGATTACGTGTTAATTTGTGTAATATAACCCTGTTTTAGTTTAAAGAAGTGAGAAACAGTTGTTTATAGCTGCCTCCATTTATGCTCAAGGTGGAAGGATAGATTTCAAGTTGTTCCCAGTGGCTGCCTGAGAGCCTAAGGAAATAGGCATTGAAGAGGCAAATTTAAATCATTGATAATTGTTGATATTTTGCTTGTTGTAGCGAGCATGTTTCATAATTTCAAAAATAAGTTTTAAAGCCTGGTGTGGGGATTCACACATGCAGTCCCAGGACTCAGAGGACTGCAGTAGGATTGGGAGTTTGGCCAGCCTGAGCTAAATGGTGAGACCCTGTCTCAAAAATTTTAAAGGACAATAAAACATTCTATTAAAAAGAAAATGAATAGCTTTCTAGTTTCTGTGACAAAAGTTCCAAGCCATCTTTGTGAAGTAGTCATGATTATGACCCACTGTCAGATTGGCAAAAAGTGGAATAACACAGATAGTAAATAAAAACATTTCTGCTATTAATTTCTCTAGCAAATCTGGCAGTCCTGTTAATGAATAGTGTCTTAAATAAGTTTGGCTGTAATTGGGAAAGAGGAAAGCAGTCATTACTTAAAAATTCATAATGTAGTTTAGTGTGTAATTGCAAGAATCTTAGCAAAGAAACAAAATAATTTCATTTTTACTCCAAACCTCAATCATTTGTTCTTAAATGAATACATACAAAAGACCCTGTTAATTTGGTTTAGAAAAGAAACAGAAATGGTCTTCTCAGTGCTACTTACAGAAAAGGGATGTACTTAAATGGGTGGTCATATATCATGCTTTGCTTGTCCTAGAAGAAACCTTTGGTAGTGCTAAACTATGAGCTAATCCATTTAAATTAAATTTTTGGGATGCATTTTTGTAGTAATGACAGCTTTTCTGTATGGGGAAAGCCTATACATTGTAAAATGTTGCTAACATTGTAAAAATCCTGAAAAACTTGGCTTTTCAAATATTACATGCTCCCTTAAAATGATATCTTAAATGTTAAATGTTTTCACTTCCAAGATTCAGTCTGGGCCACTAAAAATTTCTAGCGTATCAGAAGTAATGAAGGAATCCAAACTGCCTGCCTCACAACTCCAGAAACAGAAGGGAGACACTCCGGCTTGTGCAGGTACTCTTATTAGAACCATTCTTTTGAAATGAATCCTCTTAACATATTTGTATCTACAGTAGAGGATAGCCCTTCCCTCTGAAGGACTCCAGACCTCAGCTCTCCTGTCCTCTCCTTGGTCTTTTAGCTTGAATTTCAGTGGTTAGTGGGACATAGCATTGAACTTTATTGTGAATAGCAGTTAATTAAGAGAGATAACCTCAAGGATCGTTTTGCCTACAACAACTTTATTTTTCCTTTTAATCCTTTTTTATGTGATGCCTTGCCTTTTCTCCTGTTTACATTTTCAGATGTATTCTCTTTTCTCACCCCTTCAGTGAAACTCTGTTCACTGTACACTTGAACTTCTTATATTTCTCTTTAGTTTTTTATGACTTAAGTCACCTGACTCTGATTCAGCAGATAAATTACTGAGTGTGCATGTGGGTTTATTATAGGTATTGGAGATTAGCAATGAAGAAATCACTTTAAAATAAAATAGTCTCTGATCTCTGTAAATACTTCTTGGTGACTGAGAGGAGGCAGATCATATAAAGATAAAAAGTAATGGTTGGACGTGGTAGTGGTAGTGGTGGTGGTGGTGCAGAGGCAGGTTAATCTCCCTGCCTCAAAAAGACTGGGGGGCGGGGGATATAAACACATGAAAGGCCAGGTGTGGTAGTACATGTCTTTAATCCCAGATCCCTGGTCAGTAGAGAAAGTTTCAGGCCCAATGGCTACAAAGTAAGACCCTGCCTTTAAAAAAAAAAAGTAGGGGTCTGGAGAGATGGCTCAGCAGTCAGCATTTAAGAACATTGACTGTTCTTGCAGAAGATCCAGGGTTCAAATCCTAGCACCCACATGGCAGCTAACAACTCTCTGTAACTCCAGTCCCCGGGGATCCGACAGCCTCTTCTGTCCTCTGTGGGCATTGCGTGACACAGGTGCACTTACCTACACGCAGGCAATACACGCATACACATAAAA